GTTCTCCTCCTCTCTCCACTATCCCTCTGCCACCCCACGGGGCCGCGCTTTCGCCGCGTCTCTCTGCATTTCGTTTTCTTTTTGGCCTTGAACTGATCCAGGTGGGAGACAGGTCGACGTGTGGAAAGCCCCGGAATAGGTAGAGATAGGCAGGCAGACGCAACAGGTCGGAGCAGGGAGAGGGGCCCGTGGACCCTGCGCCTCCGCACGGGGGACCAGTAAGGAGGTGTCGGATCTTGGAGGGTCAGAAGAGCTACCCTGGTGGGTTTGACTTCGGCTGTAACCCCCGGCGCCACACAGCCCCCGGCTGGAGGGTGCTTTTTACTCCCGGCTGGAAGGGGAGAAAGAATCAGGAGGATGGTCCACGCCTGCTGATCCGGACGCCGAGCCAAGCTCAGGTCCATCTCCCAGCCAGGGCTCTGACTCCACCAACTACTTGTGCAGCTATAGGGACTGAACTTTGGAGTAACCAGCCCTTCCTCTTCTTCTAAGATTATTGGAGGAGGTAGAGGGTGGACGGCGTAGCTGAGGCCGGCGACCCTGCCACGATGTTGGTGAAGAAGCTTGCAGGGAAAGGAGGGGGACCAGAACCTGCATCAGAAGATCCGCGCCCCTCGGGACAGCGTTGTGCCGGCACCATGGCCTGGTGCGCAGCCCTGGCGACCCTCCTGTCAGTGGTTGCTGTGGTTTTTTGTTTGTATCTTGGGGTGAAAACCAACGACCTCCAGGCGAGGATTGCTGCTCTTGAATCTGCTAAAGGGACCCCCTCCTTTCGTCCTCTGCCTGACACCCTGGATGAGCTGAAGGCTGTGGTTCAGGAGAAAGTGGAGCGTCTCTTGGCTCAGGTGTGAAAGGCTGGGGTATTTTGCACGTGGATACTGTTTGGCACAGGTGTGAGTCCGGCGTGCAGGGGTAGCTTCAACCCTTACTGTCTGCACAGCTGGCTTGAGTGTGGGTATGGAGTGCTAGTACCTTGGGTATTGATTGATACCGAATCTGTAGCGGAAACCTCCTTTACTCTCTCTTCCGCAATTCCTGCTTGCGAAACCTACATGGAGGCTAACAGGAAAGGGTGGCCTGGATAGTGGGAGTGTGGGGATGAGCATTTCATTTCTTTAGTTTTCTGGAGTCTCTTGTGGTCTCTCAGTTCTACGTAGAATATTCATTATGGACACAAGATCTCACAGGTGTTATTAATATACAAAAGGTAAATCACTTTCAAGTGAAACAATTCTATATTGGTTCATGAATTTCACCCTTCAACTCTTTTCAAGTTCAAACACTTTAAAAAAAAGTTTTATATTTGGCAACGGCTGCCGTGTAGGTATTGATGAATGTAGAGCCATTGAAGTTGAGAGTTGAAAAGAAATCGCATTATCTTCAAGGTTGGTTTCAACCTTGGAGGCTTTTGGGGGGGGGGTTTACTTCCGATAGAGAGGCTGGTTAGCAGTTGTTATTCACATGCGAACTATTGACCCCGTGTGTTCAGACCTGCAATGTATCCTTGCCAGGCTTGTGCACTGACTGCCTGTACTTGGGCTGAAGGAGAGGGTGGTGGTAATGGAAGACTCAAGAAAGATATTAGCCAAACCCTGCTACCACGTCAGTGGTCATTGTCTTATTTTAGGACTTGGATTCTGTTACTTTTTGACTAGAGTCCAAGTACATATGTAAATATTCCTTATGCAAGCTATCGAATGCTGGTAAATCAGGCATGTAGCCAGAGGGTCCCTGAGAGTCTAGTTCTCTTCAGCGCTACTGACGATTCTGTTAATACCTCTGTTTTTCCTACAGAAATCCTATGAACATATGTCTAAAATAAGAATCGCAAGAGAGGCACCTTCAGAGTGCAACTGCCCAGCAGGTAAAATAGACCTCATTTAACAATGTTTCCTCCACAGCAGAACACACACACACACACACACACACACACACACACACACACACACACACACGGTCTTGTGCTGTCAAGTCCACCTGTAATAATAGTAAAGAAAGAATGCAGGCCCAACCTGCATTAATAAAATCAACATGCTTCAGTTCAAAAGATGGCAGAAAACCCCTAAATATTATGTCATACAGGATACCAAGGTCTGCTATGGGAAATCGAGGAAGGTGACCACCACGGATAATATAGGCAAGATGATTTACAAAGACAGTTCTTAGAGTCACAGATAGAAAGCCTTCCATGATCTTATTAAATAATGTCTTTTTTTGTGTGTGTGCATGTGTTTGTGAAAATGACGAACTCTTAGATTCTGAATCCCCTGGTGTCTAATGCTACATCAGTGCAGGTTTGCTGCCTGCCTTTGGTATATAGTTACACATATAAATCACCTGTACTTCCTCACTGGCTTGTATTCCGTTCTGTCAAAAAGGCTCTCTCTCCTGCTCCACAGCAGAAGACAAGACTAAGGATATTCTTTATCTTGAACTCACATTACAAACTATTGCATTCTCTATGTCTCAGGACAGGCTCTTATATTTCTACTGTATTTGTGTGTAGTTTTAGGGAACCATGTTAATGGCAGTGCCCAAGAGGATGGGAAGAGAGACATCAGTGAGTAGCACCCCCATACCCTATCCAGCCAGGGTAATTGTAACTTTCTCTTCACAGATCCGAGACTCCATATTTATCTGTAAGTTAACAATGTAGAAGATCTTGGATGATGGTCATAAAACCCCATGAGTGTTATTTTTTTTTCAGATAAACACTGTAATGCACTCATGAGCATTTAGTGTCTTTTATCAGGCATGCAAAGTGATTCCTTTACATTCCTTTATTTAATGTTCAAGAATATGATACTTAGTATTTATGTAGTTAGGTGTTGCATAGTTGCATTTGGTTAATAACAGATCACAATGTGTAAGATAGAGGTCTTATAAGATTACATCATTTGTTATTATAGTCCTTTCAGTTTGTGAAATGCAGTGTATGAAATTGTCTAACAACACAATTCTCCCTGTTAGGTGGCACATGACTGTATATGGAAAGGCTACTTCCTGTATTTTCTTAATATCCTGAATTATTTTTGACATGATCAACACAGCTGCCATCTTATGCATAAGTTTAAAATATGAATACCAGGTTTTATAGCATTCACATTTAAAAACTTTTTAAAAATTACATTGTGTGTGTATCTGTGTGTCCATGTATGCCCATGGAAGAATGCACATGCCTATGGCCATGTATGTACACTAACACTTGTGTGGAAGTCAGAGGGTAACTTTCAGGAGTTAGCTTTGTAATTTCACCAAGTGGATCCCAGGGATCAAAGCCAGGTCATCAGGTTTAGTGACAAGTGCCTTTACTTAATGAGTCATCTCACTGGCCCTATAGCACAAGAATTGTATATTTAATTACATTTTTCACCATATTAGAAGTATATTTTTTTCAGTTAAAGGCTTTTGATTAGGAAGACACTCCTGGAATGATGGTGACGACCTCTTATTCCAGCTATGCAGAGGTTGAGGCAGGAGAAATGCCTGGGCTACGGCTTATAAAACAGTCTTAAAATCAAAAGGTTAAAAAAAAAAGTTTGGAGATCTTGATGTAGCTCAGTTTTAGAACACTAGCCTAGCATGTGTGAGACCCTAGGTCTAACCGCTCAATACACAGGGGAAATACATGTATTTTAATAAGATATGTATATATTATACAATAATATATAAATATGTGACTATTTGAAAATTTGTACATGAAAATATATATGTGACTATTTGACAATTTAAGTAATGTCTTCTGTTAGAAGATCAAGAAGGGCTCAGCATTTGAACTTGTAGCTTTTGCTCTTAGCTGTCTTGATTTGGGACCTACCTCACAACTCAGATATGTAAGGAAGTCCAGCACAGGATTAAAGACATAATCACCCCATCGCCACTTGGGGTTATTTGAATTCTAAGACACCTGGTACTGAGAGTCCCTGACCACATCCCATAGAGTCCAGTCCTTTGGCATGCAATGCTTTTGTTAACGGTATGTACAGCACTTAGTGTTTAATTCATTGGATTCTTACTGAATTTGGTAAAAAGTTGAAAAGCAACCTCTACTGCTCTGAATTCTATTTTCTGTGAAGATGTCAGCACTCTTTAATATAACTTAATTACCACTTGATCTGGAAGAAAGCTCCCACCTTTAGAGTTGGGCTTGTTATCTTGGAAGATTACACTGGAGTGGTTTTCGTTATAACGTGACAATTCAAATGGGATTTTGGTTGGTTCTCTGTAACAGCTGCTTTACCTCCTTGTCACCACTAGAGCCCCACATCACATCAGTTTTTACCTGGCTTCTTGAGCAGTAACTCCTGAAAGGTGTACCTTCTGGTGCGTGGAACCAAATAACTGCTGTTCTGGAAACACATCCTTGTGTGCTTGGGTAATAATCAGGCATTCTAAAAATAAAGATGCTATATCCTGGAAAGAATGACTTTGAGATATGGTCAGTGCGATACTGTCTTTGGGAATAAGTGGGCCAGCCAGGGATTAGAAGGGGATGCAGCACTTCCCACCTGGGGTGACTCTAGCTGTGGTTCACAGTGACTAAGAGTTGTCACAAAGACATCTGCTTGCTGGACAGAGCTGGACATGTCTGTGACCTCAACTCAGTTCCTGTGGACAGATGCCCACCCCTTGAAGTTGACACTCTTGTTGACAGCCTCAGTAACAGAGCCAAAGGCTGATAGCAGAAAGTAATGCTGCTATGGTGTTTGTGTTCACTCTAAGTGCTCTTGATAGACCACAGTTCTTGAAGGGTTTGTCCATGTAGGGTGTAAGGAAATAATAACATTTATAGTTTTTGTTTTTTCCATAGGAAGGGGTGTCTTGGGAGAAGGATGAGTTATTTATTGAATAATTTCTTAATATAAGAGATGTACTCTCTAATTTTTTAACAACTTGGAGAATTAACTCCCAGTAACCTTAGATGAGGAAGCTGGGACTCAGGAAAATAGGAACTGGATGTCTAAGACCTAATGAGGAGTAGAGAATGAGCATTTAGAGGAGACTACCTCTGGACTGGAATTCTGGATCTGCTACTGATAATGTGTGACCTTGGTTGAACTAAAGAATGAAGAGTGTTCTATTGCCTCATCTGAAAACAAACAACACACACACACACACACACACACACACACACACACACACACACACGCGCGTGCGCGAGCGTGCGCGCACTCACAGTCCCAGGAAAGGCTTTCTCATAGGGTGATGGCTTTTGTAAACAGTCTGATGTTTTAGCAAGTGTTTGTTATGCTGTAGTTGCTCTCTTTTCTCTTTTTGCCTCCTCAATGCTCTACAAACACTTCAACACTAAGCTACACTACTGAGCCAGACCCGTAAGCCAGTTATTTTTCTTGCTATTTACCTCTAGTGAAGAGTTGCGTGATGAAGGTGGGAAAAGCCTCTTTGAGACGCTTGCTTGGAGCCCAGTGTCTAATCAACAGCAAGCCTTGAAGTACAACTGTGTTTACTTGAGCAGATGTGTATTTAGATCATCCACATAGATAATCATCCTAGAGTTTCTCTTGTTGCTGTACCAGTAACATTTTGTTCTTTACAGATATTTACATTAGTCTCAAGTTATTTTTATCAACATTACAGGGAGAACTCTGGACATTTTAGGAGAAGTGTGACTAAAGTAGACGGAGTCTAGGCTTACTTGAGCATCTTTGTAGTTTCCATATCAGATATTTATAGGTAGCTTACCTGTCTGACTCATTTTCAGATTTATTTTTAGTAGCTTTAGTGAGGTATAATTTATGTTTCACCCATTTTAAGGTTTGTAACAAATTTATATTTGGGCCGCCATCCACTGCAGTCTAGTTTTAGATCATTTTTGACTTCTGACAGCTCACATTTACTTCATTGTGAACTCAAGAGAAGCTTTATTTTTTGAAAAGTTTTGCTTTGGAGAAACTCCAGAATAATGAACAAAAATATTCTTAGACATTAAAGCTCTGTTTAGCAAAGCACTTGACTTAGTGGTAGCAGGGCCTGGGGAGATACAGCTGAGGTTTGGGGCTTGACCTCTATAAAGCTTGACCTTCAGATGAGGGAGTAGGTTGGCTCATTCTGTGGATAGAATTTTGTCTTGGATTCTCTCCTGGTGCCTTACATAAAAGTATGTATAAATCAGGCATGTTTTCGGAAGGGCTTCTATGTAGAGGCTGATGGTGAATGATGGGAGCCAGGTAGTCAAACAGAAGAGGTTTAGACCATTAGATATTTTCTGAGGTCCCTGAAGACCTGCCACCTCTATCAAATGATTATGTATGAAGCAAGAGGATGTGTAAGTAAATCAAAGAACCTCACTTTCTTAATTGTAAGTGATACAGGCACAGGTGTCTGGCTGAAGGACATCATTTCTAAGGGTTTCAGAAGAGCCCTTAAATTACCTTTAAAGTGTAGAAAACTATTTCTTACTAATATTTTACTTAGGTCACATTTAAGAGTCCGTACAGCAAATGTAGTACATCAAGTAAGAGACTCAGTGTGTATAGTTTAGTTATATAAAGGAGCATCAGAAGCAGTTTGTAGACCATGAATGCAAATGTTTAAATACTATTTAATGAGAGTGACAGACATTCTTGTAAGACTAAACAACACAGTGTGACATGCCAGTACCTCCAGGCATTCATGTTAAATTGTTTTGGTTCTAATGAGAACAACAGTTTGGGTGTGGCACTTTCAGTTGGTCTAGTAGTGACAGCTGGCAAAATGCCCCAGTCAAAGGACCAAGGACAAATTCCCTCTTGGATTAGTGCTCTCGAGTTTAACTTCTTGTTTGCTGCACTTGTCTGTAAATTAGGCTATTTCTTTATGTTCTTTTTCTTAGCAATTCCTGTTTTGATGAGCTGAGGGTTATCA